TCCCTGAAGGGTGGTAGTGTGTGTTTGATTTTCTTTTTAGTGTTTTTGTTTGTGTAGAAACTTTTGAATCCTGGATCCTTATGACTTCATCAAAGTGTGGGGGGTATTTATCAATATCCGAAGATGGTTACCCCGAAACTTCATGGAACAATCAAGATAGTGGAAGTCAAGGGTTCGGATTCTTTTACCAATCCCCCTTCCAAGAAGAAGAACCATGCCAATGGGGATATGGAGAGGCTTCCTCATTCCAAGAAGATTTCCTTCCATAACAGGAGCCAAGAAGCGAATTATAACTCTTGGTGTAGTGGTTTACCCAGGGATCCGATGAAGCATCCTCAAGTTTGGAACAATCTTTCTACACTCCACAATCATTAATGAGCCGATTGGAGCTCATGGTGGAGCGGTTCATCCGGGAACCCAAAGCGTGTTCCGATGTGGAACCCTCAACCACCACTCCTAGCGACCCATCTTTTCTATGTTCAACGGAGGAGTTCCTCCAAAAAAACAGAGAGACTAGGAGAGATTGTAGAGCAAGCATGTGCACAACTTGTTCACAATTATCTCCTACCATTTGAAGAAAAAGGAAATGATGTCGAAGAGAGAGGTTTTGGAAGAGGAAGTGAGAGTCAAAGAAGAGGAAGATCTTGAACGTTCCCAAGTGGAGGAACGAATTGAAGAAGAGAGAAGGGAGGTTGAAGAAGCAAATGGTGTCCATGATGAGTATGAGATCATGGTGGATGGATCTTCATAAGTTACAAGTGCTATCAAAGCCTCCCACCCGACCTCGATGCACTTTTGGAGAAGGACCCATTTGCGGCTATTTTCCAAGCCAAGTCCAACCCATCGGCGATCCCTTTTGCTGGATGCGATGAAAGTCAATGGAGTGTGCACTACATGGCGTGGGGCAAAGAGAAAAAGGATGAAGGAAAGAAGAAGAGATCTAGTGGGTGGAGCCTCATGAAAATTCAAGTTCAAAAACCCTCAATCATGGACTCGTCCAATGCTCGTCACTTGAGACACCACCTCACCGACGAGATCCTCAACTTCAATGAGGTTCTAAGTTGGACCAAATACTTGAAGATAAACGTCCGGTGATAATACTTAAAAGACGCACTTGTTGGGAGGTACCCCAACAACCGATTTGCATTTCCTTACCTTTTGAAAATAAAACTTGTATGTTTGACTTAGCTTTAAGTAGTTTTATAGTTTTAACTAGTGAATGAATCCCTTCTATGTCAAATATTATATGAATGATTCGTGGAGACCAACTAGTTGCTTAAGGAATGGTTGCAATTGTTATTGTTGAGCATGTGTGCTAGCTTCACCTACCAATTAAGCTACATATGGCTAGGGTATGGCATGGCTAGCACAATAGGATCCTAGAATGTATGTTTATGCTTATGATTTTGTATGCGTGTTTGGAGGCTTTGGTTGGCTTTATTTTTATGAACTTGTAGAGTTTGAATGCCGCCAACCAAGTGCTCGATGAAATGCCCAAATGCACATAAAACTTGTTTTTCTTGATCCAGTGCTTTTCAATTGAACTTGTTCGATTAAGATAGACCCTTAGGAGTTTGGTTATGACTTGATATTTAATCTTTGATGCATGATCCTTGACATTGAAATTTTGGCTCACTTTTAATTGTGTGCTTCGATATGCTTTTAGAGCCAAGAGTTCAAGCTATTGTTGTTGTCTAATGAGTTGATTCTAGATTTAAACCGGGGTTTAAAAACCTCTTGATAGAAATGTCATCCTTGTGTTCATGCACCTAGACCTCTATCCTAGTCATTCCAACATGCACTTTTTACCTATACACCTCTAGTTTCTACATTGTAACACTTAAGTGTGGGGGTGTATAGAGTGAACCTAAGGATGGATTTTATTGTTTAATTGATCAAGTGAGTTGCCTAATGGTTTATTTGAACATGTTTTGTGATTTTTCTCTGCTCATGGCGATCCAACCGAGAGTGGGAGACTAGTTCTCTTAGCTCTCGACAACGAAGGAACCAAAACCGCCCATGATGAGAAGGACCACAAATTTCAAGAGAAGAACCATAACCTCAAATTGAAGAGCAACCACAACAAGCACAACAAATCAGCCAATGGAGGCGACTATAAGCTATGATGGACCATCTTTGCAAGAAAGAACCTCTGTTGTGGTGATTAATGGTTAAATTTTAGTGTTTTTGGAACCTTGAATGTTACACTCAAAAAATTTCAAATTTGAGGGTTCCAAAGCGCAATTACCTACTCGATGTGCTTTGACTTTATTAGATTGATTGATGTGTGGTGCATCTTAGGTGATAGTTGCATAGTTTGAGTATCGATACTTGAGGGATTCTACTACTTTCTTCCTCTTTTGTGAGTTGATAATGTTTGCTACCTTAGGAAGGCATTGGGTGCGGGATTCTCTTCTTTGTTTGAACTAGGAAATTTTACAATTTGCGCTTAAGAATAGGAAAAGAGGTTCTCACGTGAGGGGCAATCGGGCAAAGAATTGAGATCAACCGTCAAATGATTGTTCTCTTGGCTCGGAGTGCCCTTCAAGGATGTGTTTGGGGTTCAGATAGCTTCATTGCGTTTCGATCATCTCTTACTACTTACCACCCCCCCCCCCCTCAAACACCTCTCCTCCTCACGGAATTGTATGCTAAGGACCGAAGGTACCTTTTAGCGATTCATGAGACCTCGTAGCTCTCGTTTGTACCCGACATGTGTGACAACCCAATGTGGAGTGCAGGTTGAGACGTGGTGCTCGGGCGAAGACGAATCTGACCATCAATTTTCCCACATGTGACCTTGAAAGGGAAGGTTATGATTCATCCGCTCTTGGTCATGAGGGAGAGATGTTATTATACAAAGAAAAAATTGCAAAGGTTCGGTGTGATGTGCATGAACGAAGTAAAAGAAGACCGAAAAAAATGACAACTCCTACGTCAAAAGAAAGAATAAAAGCACCTCCAATAGTTCTAGTAGTTGTTTGTTGTCTGAGAATCCACCGGAGCACAGTTTTTATGATCGGCCTAAGGTAGTAGATATGGTCCTCACACGAGAGTTTGTGCTTGCACAATAGGAAGGTAGTAGCGTTTATTCATCCCTGTATACTCTCAACTATGCAATGAAGAACTAGCATGCACACCTCATTGATTTGTCTACCATATTGCATTAGGTTTGAGTAGGTTTGCTTGGGGACAAACAAACGCCTAAGTGTGGGGGAGTTTGATAACACCAAAATCAGTGTTATTTACCCTACGTATCGAGGCGCGTTTTGTGCCAATTCATGTACTTAAATGCTTGAAGATCGTCAAATGCATCCCTATCACATTCCTATTTGATTTCGATGTGATTTTAGGGTGATATGTGTGAATTAGGTACAAAACATGGTCAGAAGTGTAGATAAGGGGCAATAATTGAAGATCGTGGTCTAGAAGCCGAAGATCACGGTCGGGATCACAAGCCGTGAAGTCTAGCTGAAGAACGCGACCCAGAAGCCATAGATCGCGACCGTGATCTTAGAGGCTCAGGACGCGAACTTCGCGAGGAATGAGCCCTGGAGAAGCAGAGAGGCTCCACAGTCAAGTCACGGCCAACGTTCATATTGCCCGCGAGGAAGATTGCGGCCGCAAATCGTGAATCGCGACCGCGAAGTCAGCCAGCGATCTTCCCCTTCCGAAAGGCCTCGACGACTACATTTTGAGATCACGGCCCAGAGACCAAAGATCCCGCCCGCGATCTCCTTACCTCAGGCCGCGAACTTCCCAGAATTCAAAATGACTATAAATACAAGAGCCCTTTCCCCCTTTTGAAGGGAGCTAATTTTGAAATAAACTTTCTGGTTTTAGAGAGAGAAAAGAGAGAGAAGCTGAAGGAATGAGAAGAGAAGGATAAGAAGGAGGAGCTAGGAGCAAGGAAAAATCTTCTTCCACCCCAAGTCTTCTTCTATTTCTACAATGTATATTCTTCCCTCCTTTATGGAGTAGTCCTCTAAGGTACTAGGGGTTCTAAACCCCAAACCCTAGTTTTAGGGTTTACTATGTATGTATGGATATTCTATGGAATGAATGAATGAATGTGTTTGTCTAGTTCATTTTAATGTCACTCTTTCCTAAATGATGACGCTTGGGTAAGTCATCTTCACTCTTAGCCTACTTTATGCTATCGCGCTGGGTATGGAGTTCTTGAGTTAGACTAGTGTCGCAACCGCCCCTCGGAATCGGGGGATCTGTCGCGTCACACTCGGAGTCGCCATCGACCTCAATTGTAGTGGATCGACCACTAATTTACCCGATCTCAACCTTAGGGTCAAAATCAGAATCTGGTTTGCGAAACCAGAGATTGTGGGTTCAGGAGTATGGTTACGTATGAGGAAGTGTACTCACACCCCACAACACCCAAAATTGGTACTACCTAAATCTATAAGTTTGTAAGAGTTGGGTGTATTTATAATTTGCGCCTTATTTATGTATTTAATTATCTGATTCGATTAATTATGTGTTTGTTATTAATATTTGATCATACATCTATTGATGCAATTCTCAAAATTAAAGCAAATTTTTGATTAGTTGGACTCAAACCTATTGGTTGCCTACGTACCCGAGTAGTCGGGATCAAAGTTCACGTAGTTCGGTTCAATTTATAGATTTAAAAAAAATGATTCTAAAACGTTCTACTGATTGTGTTTAAGATGATAATTTGAGTTATTAAAAAATTATGACCAATAATTAAACATAACACAATTTAATAATCACAGTGACTAAATGTGAAATTTACATTTAGAAAATGGATTCACATTCGAAAAGCAGCTGCCTCATCAGCAAGCAGGCTCGTTACAACAAGAGGGGCATTCTCGACCCAAGAGATAAATTCATTCCAGCCCAAGAAACTGGGCTAAACAATGTGCCACCCCTAATTAAATCAGGAAAAGTTATATCTAGGTTTAACTACGAGATAAGTGCATCTTCAGAGAGTCTGCAAATTGGAGCGGCGGTCAATCTGAGCTATGAACAGCGGCGATAGCCGTGGAAAAAGGCGTCGCGCAGAAGAAGCCGACGCTACTACTATTGACAGGTTAAGCGACCTCCCAATACTCATGGTTCATCACATCCTTTCATTCTTGGACGACACCAAATCTGTGGTTCGAACCTCGCTGCTGTCCCGGGGTTGGAGACACGCGTGGAAACATGTTCCTGTCCTCGAATTCCATAGGGGTTCTTTTCCCCGAGCCAGAGAGTTCGATAGTTTTATTGATAGGGTTTTGTCTCTCCGCCGTGACCTTAGTCTCAGCAAGGTTGTATACGCCGAGACTTACCTTAGCCCAGAACCCCCGCGCAATGAAAAAGCCGACATCATCGACAGGCAAGTGAAGGTCATCAGCTATGCGTTATCTCATGATGTTCAGCAGTTAGTTGTTCACAGCTGGGAAGCCAATCAGGAGACAGCTGCACCCTATTGCGATTTCAGTTCAATATTCCCGGTGTGCGGCAGCAACAATGCTACTGGGAATTATGACTGTACTAAGAAAAAGAAGGAGGCTGATCTGAAAACCCTAGACTTGAAATGGATCAACCTGGATCCTGGATTTGTAGCCTGCTCTGTTTTCCCAATGCTGACGACCTTGAATCTGGAAAGGTGCGCGTTCGGAACAGAGGGCCTTATTCTTTCTGCCAGCATTCCATGCCTGATCAATTTGGTCATTACAAATTGTCGCCTGAAAGGAAAGGCAACGGAGATCAAGGCAAGGAGGATCAAGGTGTATGCACCCCACTTGCTTAGCCTGAAGCTGAACGGGATGGTGGGTTGGGAGATTGAAGTATTTGCACCGAAACTCAAATCCTTGACTCTCTTTCAAGACGTGACATCCGCAGGGTTCTTCAACACAACCCTTCCTGCTCTGGATCATGCAGATATTGCATTGACTGAGGGTCGTTACTTTACCAAGGAACGGGCAGATCACTATGTGAACTCCTTGTTTCAAGTTTTGTGTAATGCTAAGTCTCTGAAGCTGGATCACACTGCCTTCCTGGTATGCTTTTGAGCAATGCAGTAAAAATCATCATAGTATCGTTTTGGTGAATCAGAAAAGCAAAAGAGCGTAAACTTTTACCAAGTTTTGAAACACAATTTTGACTACATTGCTGATTATGAGTGTATAATGGATTCATATATTGTCTTAGTTGTATATGTTTGACCTCCTTATTCCAAGTTTTTCTCTGTTGTTTTTTCTCCAGATACTGAACAATAGGTGTGAGTTTCTGGAACAACAACCGTCAACCCACTTTAAGAGGTTGGAGTCCTTGATTTTGCCGTCCAACGATCGACTCATAGACTACTTTTCAAAAGCATCTTCTTGTGAGAAACTAAATATCTTTGGTGGAAAAGGATATGTTTTATGATTTTAGCTCGTTTATTTACTAGCCGGATCGCTCGCTTACCAATGGGATATGGGGAATTTAACAACGATACACATTCATACTAGCATATTGCCCGGACAGTTGGCCGGGTTGTGGTTGTTTCATTTACAACATATATCTTGCTTTAGGGTGTCCTTTGGCCCGTTTATGTTTTTACGAAATGCTCCGTCAGTTGTCACGTTGTGTTTATTCTATTTATGGTTGAAACTTGAAACATTGATGCCATGAGAGTCATTTGCCTATTCCCCTTTATTCCAGTCTGGTGAATATAACTTTTTCATGGCGGTTCGATAATGTAAATTAAAGTTCCATTGAGTTTTTAAAACAGTTCTATCATGGCCTCTTTTTTCCACCTATTGGAATGCAACTGTTGCATCTCATTGCCCGACCAATTGGTCAGGTGAGTTTTATCACCATACTTATAGGTACAACCTGACAACAGGTCGTTATATTGACTTAAATTTAAATTAAAGTTAATTTACAGTACAATTGTGAAATCGAAATCCAATCTATTTAATGTGTATTAGACATAAAAGATATATCTATGAGATAAAAGAATTAAAATTATATTACTGAAATATAATATATATTTATAAATATCTCTTTACATGACTTTGGCCTAGTAATGAAATTCACTCACTATCTTAAAAAATAAATCATTTAATAAACTCAATATATAACAAACTTAAAAAACTCACCCAACCACCTTCCTATGCTCTCTTTGTCTCCCTCCTCATTCCCCTCTCTCCCTCTCTCTCTCTCCCTCTCCTCTCCCGGCCTTTTTAACATGAGAGGTACTAATTAACGCCCTAACATTTTAAATTTTTCGCCCTAATTTAAGCAAAGTGGCATTTTTGCCCCTAAAAAATTCCCATTCACCTGCTCAGGCAGCTCAGCCGTCAGCCGCCCTAGAAGGATTCCTTGCGGAGGCCTTCACCACCAAGTTTCTCCCATGACTCAAATTACCCACCAGAATGTATTGACAAAGAATTCCACCAAGCAACTGTATCACTCTCTACATCAGAACCCAACAAATCGATCAGTGGTGCCATTACGAATGGCCTCTCCCAAATTCTCTCATGAGGGATAGTAAGCACGTCAGAATTTACCCTAAACTTGCCATAGAACAAAATGTCCGTTGGGAAGGTAACGATTCCTCGCGGAGCTGTCGACCGAAGAATCATCGCCGAGAAGAATCATAGCCGCCGTCGCCCTAAAAATCATCTCGTCTCCCCGAGAAGAATCATCGTTTTCACCCTAATCATCGTCGGGATCCCTCGCGCGATGCCTGCTCGGTGCGCCGCTCAAGGACGCAGAAAGAATCCTGCCGCCGTTCCTGCTGTGTCTCGCCTGTCAATTCGCTTGCCATCACGATGGGTTGGGATTAGGGCCGCGACGAGCAGAGCAAATTGGATTAGGGCGATGGGTTGTGTGATAGGGGTAATATGGTCTGTTTGGTTAATTTAGGGCGAAAATTTTAAAAAGTTAGGGCGTTAAATAGAAATCCAGTTTAAGATTAGCGTTGGGCATGTGAGGTCATAAGGCCCATTATAATAAATAAGGATTAATATATTTGTCTCATCCTAAATTTTCCCAGATTTACCATTCTAGTCAATTCTTTTGATATTTAACATCGTGGTACAAACTAATCCTACACTTTACTAATTTGGTCAAACCCGAAAATTGATCGTTAGTTTTGACTGTCGTTAACTAACAGTCGACCCACCACATCACTCTTCGGTGAGCATAATTTTTTTAATTCTACATAAAAATAAAAAGTATTTCTAAATTAAAGTAAAAATAAAAATGGAAAAAATTGAGGGTTTGGAGGTTGACTTAAAATTGCCTGCGGTAGAAGTCTTGGGAATTTAAGCTTCTCAATTCTAGCGTCAAAACTAATGGTCAACTCTTGAGTTTGGCCAAATTAGTAAAATGTAAGATTAGTTCGGGCCACAATGTTAAATACCAAATGAATTGACCAGTATGTTAAAATCCGAAAATTGATTGTTAGTTTTGACTGTCGTTAACTAACGGTCAACTCGCCACAACACTCTCCAGTGAGCATAATTTTTTTCTAAATTCTACATAAAAATAAAAATTATTTCTAAATTAAAGTAAAAATAAAAATGGAAAAAATTGAGGGTTTGGAGGTTGACTTAAAATTGCCTGCGGTAGAAGTCTTGGGAATTTAAGCTTCTCAATTTTTGTTTTAATTATAATAATTTTTAGAAATTATGTGGAATTTAGGATTTTTTAAGTTTAATAATGTTGTCTGGGCAGTGACGTGGCGGGTTGACCGTTAGTCAAAGGTCTCAAGCGTCAAAACTAATGGTCAACTCTTGAGTTTGGCCAAATTAGTAAAATGTAAGATTAGTTCGGGTCACAATGTTAAATACCAAATGAACTGACCAGTATGTTAAAATCCGAAAAATTGATCGTTAGTTTTGACTGTCGTTAACTAACGGTCAACCCGCCACAACACTCTCCAGTGAGCATAATTTTTTTCTAAATTCTACATAAAAATAAAAAATATTTCTAAATTATAGTAAAAATAAAAAATGGAACAAATTGAGGGTTTGGAGGTTGACTTAAAATTGGCTGCGGTAGAAGCCTTGGGAATTTAAGCTTCTCAATTTTTTTTTCAATGTTTTTAATTATAATAATTTTTAGAAATTATTTGGAATTTAGGATTTTTAAGTTTATTAATGCTGACTGGGCAGTGACATGGCAGGTTGACCATTAGTCAACGGTATCTACCGTCAAAACTAACGGTCAACTCTTGGGTTTGGCCAAATTAGTAAAATGTAAGATTAGTTCGGGCCACAATGTTAAATACCAAATGAATTGACCAGTATGTCAAAATCCGAAAATTGATCGTTAGTTTTGACTGTCGTTAACTAATGGTCAACCAGCCACATCACCCTCTAGTGAGCATAATTTTTTTTCTAAATTCTACATAAAAATAAAAAATATTTCTAAATTAAAGTAAAAATAAAAAATTGAAAATTTTGAGGGTTTGGAGGTTGACTTAAAATTGCCTGCGGTAGAAGCCTTGGGAATTTAAGCTTCACTATTTTTGTTTCAATTATAATAATTTTTAGAAATTATGTGGAATTTAGGATTCTTTTAAGTTTATTAATGTTGACTGGGCAGTGATGTGGCGGGCTGATCGTTAGTCAATGGTCTCTAGCGTCAAAACTAATGGTCAACTCTTGGGTTTGGCCAAATTAGTAAAATGCTATGTTTTCAGAACCGAACCGGAGGTTGAACCGGAAAATTTAGTGGTTTAGGGTTCACCGGTTAACCGTTACAAAACCGTTGGTGACCCGTTGATAGAACCGTTAATGATATATAACATATAAGACTTGTATATTACACTAATTTAAGAATGAAATTATCATTGACCATAAACAAGTTGAAATTCATATCATCACGAAAATATCTAATAAATCATTCCAACCATCTCACAAAAGAAACCACATTTTTTAATTCAAATTAAAAATTACGGTTCTAGTTGGTAGTAGACAATGTAAAATCGACAATAAGGTTGAGGAAGCATATATAAAATTAATAATTATGATTTGATGGCCTTAGTTTATGTTAAAATAGTGAACCAGTGGACCAGTTAAACCGTGCCGGTTCATCTGATTTTATGTTGAATCGTGAAAAACCGTTTGGTCCATCAATAACCGTTCAAACAATGAACCGGACCGCTATCGTAACTGGTTTGACGGTTCTACTGGCCCGGCCGTTGATCCGGTTCGGTTCTTATAACAAGGGTAAAATGTAAGATTAGTTCGGGCCACAATGTTAAATACCAAATGAATTGACCAATATGTTAAAATCCGAAAATTGATCGTTAGTTTTGACTGTCGTTAACTAACGGTCAACCCGCCACAACACTCTCCAGCGAGCATAATTTTTTTCCAAATTCTACATAAAAGTAAAAAATATTTCTAAATTAAAGTAAAAAAAAAATGGAACAAATTGAGGGTTTGGAGGTTGACTTAAAATTGGCTGCGGTAGAAGCCTCGGGAATTTAAGTTTCTCAAAATTTTTTTCAATTTTTTCAATTATAATAATTTTTAGAAATTATTTGGAATTTAGGATTTTTTAAATTTATTAATGCTGATTGGGCAGTGACGTGGCAGGTTGACCGTTAGTCAACGATATCTACCGTCAAAACTAACGGTCAACTCTTGGGTTTGGCCAAATTAGTAAAATGTAAGATTAGTTCGGGCCACAATGTTAAATACCAAATGAATTGACCAGTATGTCAAAATCCGAAAATTGATCGTTAGTTTTGACTGTCGTTAACTAACGGTCAACCCGCCACATCACTCTCTAGTGAGCATAATTTTTTCTAAATTCTACATAAAAATAAAAAATATTTCTAAATTAAAGTAAAAATAAAAAATGGAAAATTTTGAGGGTTTGGAGGTTGACTTAAAATTGCCTGCGGTAGAAGCCTTGGGCATTTAAGCTTCTCATTTTTTGTTTTAATTATAATAATTTTTAGAAACTATGTGGAATTTAGGATTTTTTTAAGTTTATTAATGTTGACTGGGCAGTGATGTGGCGGGCTGATCGTTAGTCAATGGTCTCTGCCGTCAAAACTAACGGTCAACTCTTGGGTTTGGCCAAATTAATAAAATGTAAGATTAGTTCGGGCTAAAATGTTAAATACCAAATGAATTTATCAGTATGTTAAAATATGAAAAAAAATCAGGCCAAAAAAATATATTAACCCAATAAATAATCATCTATTCGTTTCTCTACTATATGGCCTATAACCAACTTATTAATGAATGGTTTTTTAGGTATACCCCTCCACAAATTATACAGTGCTTTTGAGCTGCTGAATTGGCAAAAATCATATATACACATTCAATGGCCTTCCAAAAATCAAATTAAGGGGTGCTTTTGCTTTTGAGTTGCTGAACGTATAAATGTGTTTGGAAGTTGGAATGTAAGGAGGATCAGTATCACTTTTTGGTGTCCGTTTCTCTTAGCGGGCCTAATTATCTGGCCCAAGAACTGGCAAGGTGATATAGTTATATATTTGGTCAAAAATACCCCTTCGCAAAATAAGAGCTGCTTCTCGGCTGAGGTGGCAAAACTCTGATATACACTCCTCTCTATATATACTAGTTTTGTGCCCGCTC